TACACTCTTTATTTGTCATCTAAATATTCCAAATATAAAAAATCTGTGAGCTTTAGAAGCTTGTAATATATATATATATATATATATATATATATATATATATATATATATATATATATATGAATTGGAAAAGATTATAAAGATTATGGGAATGGTTGCTCTGGAATAGGTGGCAATTATGGAAAGGTGGTGACCTGAGGTAGAAGCGGGTGCCTGGCCAGGGAGAAAATAGATGGGAAAAGGGGTCAGGAAATGGCAGGTCTACTGGTGGGCAGGGCTCTCCATGGGACCTTGGTTAGGGAAGAACCTCATCTTGGGAACAGCAAGGAAGGAAGAAAGAAGCAATGGCTATGCTCATTGCACACAGTTGCCTCTCCTCATCCACATGCCATACCCACTACCCTGTCATTGGTTAGAAAATATGAGGTGATTCAAAAGGAATTGAAAAGTTAATAATAAAATCTTACTCAGGAAGGTTATATATAAACAAGTAGTTAAATCTAATTGTGAAGGAGCTATCAATTTACACCCATGACCTCAGACATGCTCAATGTGGGCCCTTCAAGTCACAGCACCCATAAATCCTGTGGTCTGATTTACCCCAGACCCTTTTCAGGGCATCACTACCAATGGCTAGCAGGCTGCCACTGTGCATTCCTTCATTTTTTCAAGCTGTGAGGAAGAGTTGATTTCAATGGATCCTTGGTCCGAAGTTCATATATAGCCTGGTTACAAAGTGAGGCATTTTTATGTAAATACTCAGCCTGTTGTGAATAACCTTGTATAGCTTTTGTGAGTTTAGACCTGTTGGTGGCTATTCTTGAGTTTGCCTTGTCTTTCCTAGAAGCATTCTGGTTTTGAAAACATCTAAAATCTAAACTTAGATGTTGTAATATGATGTGCAGTCACTCTAAATTTGTGAAAATAGAAGTCTTTAAATGCTAAAAACACACATGGCACACATGACTAAAGGGATCTGTAAGTTGTTTATAACTTACATTGTGATTTGGAGCAAACTCAGAGGTTTAGAAATATTTTCACTTCTCTGAAATATGTGTTTTGTATTACTGTGGATTTATTGAAATTCTAAGAAGCTCTTGGGAACTTAATGCTAGCCAGCAGGAGTCAGAGCACATTTGTATGAACCACATATGGGAAAGTAGAGAACCCACCAGAAACTGGGCTGGGTGTTCCATACCTATAGTCTTGCTTACTAGGGAGGCTGAGGCAGGAGAATCATAAGTTCCAGGCCAGCCTGGGCAACTTAGTGAGACCCTGTCTTAAAAATAAATAAGTCTGGGAATGTAGCTCAGTGGTAGAGTGCTTGCCTACCATGTGTGAGGCCCAGGGTCTGATTCTGAGCCCCTCCCCCATTGTCCTAGGGGGGCTGGAAGGAGAGAAGCCACCAGAAATCAATTTCATTAATATTTTTTCTATTTTTTATTTTATTATTCCGGCCAAAGACATGAAACATCTTGGTAGATTGACTAGATGTATACCTCAACTGGGGACAGAGACAATGTGTTCTTATCTATGATTTCTAAGAGTGTCTTGTGAAAAGATTTTTTCTCATTTAGCAAATATAAGAAATGAGAATTTTCATAAATCCAGGAGCAAAGACTAAATTTATGGAATTGCCTGTACTCAAGGAACTAAAAGGATAATATTTGGTTTGAGCACTTCAATTAAAGTCAAGAGTTTCATATAATGCCAACCTACTTTATGGGATTTTCTTAGAATTAATTTCATTCTCAATGTGAAGTTATCATTCTATTTTTTTTCTTTCTCTACATGATTTTTGTTTTTTTTTCTAGTGGTCTTTAAAACCCAAGCATTTGAGGGCTGGGGATATAGTTTAGTGGTAAAGCACTTGCCTAGCATGTGGGAGGCCTGGGTTCCATCCCTAGAGGAGGAGGAGGAGGGGGAGGAGGGGGAGATGGAAGGGGGAGGGGGAGGAGGAGGAGGAGGAGGGGGAGGAGGAGGAGGAGAAGGGAGAGGGGGAGGGGGAGATGGAAGGGGGAGGGGGGGGAGGAGGAGGGGGGAGAGGGAGGAGGAGGAGGAGGGGGGGAGGGAGGGGGAGGGGAAGGAGGAGGAGGAGGAGGAGGGGGAGGAGGAGGAGGAGAAGGGAGAGGGGGAGGGGGAGATGGAAGGGGGAGGGGGAGGAGGAGGAGGGGGGGAGAGGGAGGAGGAGGAGGAGGGGGAGAGGGAGGAGGAGGAGGGGGAGAGGGAGGAGGAGGGGGAGGAGGAGGGAAGAAAGAAATAAAGAAAACTCAAGCCTTCAGTGCATATTGTAAGAACCACAATCAGCCTGGCTGCCTGGCTATACATATCTATCTGTAGTCTGTTGTGGTTTATTTCCTAATTTGCTTTGTGAATCGGGAAGCCCTAATAGGTTTTGTGTTGCTGATGACCATGGCCCCTGAAGTGTAATGCAAACCATCAGGCTCAGTCTATTTTGTTGTTTAAATTCAAGCTTAGAAATGAAGGGTCAAGTATTTCTTAGTCTGATTAATTTTGAATTTTTTTTTTATGGGTAGTCCTGCGTTTCTAGAAAAATAGTACGTAAGAATCTTCTTTATCTGATCTTCTTTATTTCCTCAAACAAATCAAATATAGCTTAAGTATGTTATACTTTATTATTTTTGGCAAAGTATAAGGGATCAATATTAAAGGAATTGGTTGAAATGCTACAGATTTTTCTTCAGAAGGAGATGGGTTATCCAAGTTATCTATGCCCTAAAGTCTTGTTAAACTCATATTAAGTTACTTCTGTGAATTCTCTGGAATGGCCTCATACTTCATCACATTTTAAAGCATGTGTTTTCTTTCTAAAGCTGCAAGCCTTAATAATGCTAGGTCTGGAAATAAAAATTTCAAATGTCAAAAATTTCTCACATTGTACTTTCAAAGAGAACAGACTCCATCAATGTGAGTAGTTGAAGCTTTAAAAGTTCCAAGCAAATGTTCTCTTTCAACTGGAATTTTATTCCATATGCCATGTGGGTCCATAGGAAGCCTGTCTCCCATCCAGTCCTTCTCCTCTGGATGCAGTTTCCCATCTGAAAGCCTGGGAATTGTGCTCCACTGCACAATACACCTAACTTTCATTGTTTGATAATGCTGCATGTTCTCATGGCAACAAGTTAGACCTCTTCCACTACTTTACTGCCAAGTTTTCAAAGATAACATACAGTCAGCTCATGCTGCCCACACAGACTGACCTCTCTCCTGAGCATGCCACTGAGTGGCAATGCTCTTCTGCTCTGGATCACATTAACCTTTGAGCTGATGCTTTCTCCTTCTCTTTGCTGGTGAGAAGGTCTATCTTATAAGCCCAGTGGTATCTGCTCCTTCAAGTCCTTTGGCGTCTGAACAGAAAGGACCTTGGATTCTGTTTTGGACCTTGGTTGGGCTAGCTTCATCAGTAAACCATGATTTCCATACTTTTCTGCCTCCACATAGTCTACTTCCCTTAAACCACCTGGAAAACACCTCATTTTTACAAATTCTGTACATAGCTGCTACAATCCCCAGAACAAAGAGGATTGTGGAATTTCCTTGTAAGTGGGACTCATCTTTGTCTAGAGGTTTTCTCATCCAGCAGACTCTGGTGAAAATATTGCCCACTACTCTTTAGCATCCCAATCTTCTTAGCATGGAGCATGTTAATCACAATTAATGAAACTTGGTCATCAAGATAAAAAAAAGATACTGTCTCCCTCCTCTTCCCCAGCACCTTTGTGCTTTGATTTTGAGTGTTTTAATGTACCTAACATGCATAAATTCTAGATTTCCTTTCTGAGGGACTTGGGGCATCTCCTTTTCTGCCCCATTCTGACAATCTCAACCATCTGTTGTGTAACTCTGACTCACAGAAAAGAGGACTAAAGCCTTTATCTTCTTGCTGTGCCATCTATATTCCAACCACTGTCTTTTGGGACCACAAAACATCCCAAATATGCAATTTGTTAGTTTTTCTCCCAAACCAAACTTTTAAGAGAACACCTCAGCTTGTGGCATTGTTTTTCCTGGGGGGTGATCCTTCACCTCTGAAGAACTTGAGGCTTGGTGTTCCACCTGTGTGGAATGACAATATCTCTGGCTAATTCTATTTCTGAACATGGTTGTGTAGGTGGTACTGCAGGGAATCCTCTAGGTCTTATCCATATTCCTTCTTGTTCCCATGATAAAGTTGTCAGGATCAGTTACTTAACCCATCATAATTTCCACTTATGTCAGTTTGTCCAGTGGTAAGAGGGGCTAAAAATGGCCCTGAGATAGTTAGAGTGTCCAATCAAATGAAATCATTTTCTATTTTCACTTTTAAAAGTATTTTTTCCTATAAACCAGGGTATAGCAAACTATGGTCTATGGACTAAATCTAGCCTGCCACCTATTTTTGTAAATAAAAATTTCATTGCAACATAGTCACAGTTATATATTTACATATTGTTTGTGGCTGTTTTCATGCTGTAGTGGTAGAGTGATTGTGACAGACCATGCCCTGTGATTTCTATCTGAGTGGGTGGGGAAGGAGACACACAGTTAACATACCACGCTGCTGTCTAGCTTTCTCTGTTCACCCTCAACCTATAAAATAACCAGGAAAATGATTCTTAACCACAACATAGTCACGAAGGGGATATGAACGGGAACTCGAATCCTTCTTCCTCTGTCTGTGCACCTACTTCCTTCTTCACCGTACTGTCATATGGTTTGGTTGTGATTACAAATGCCAGATTCTTTTTTTTTTACAATTCTTTTTTTAATTTGTTTTAATTAGTTACACATGACAGTACAATGATCTTGATATATCATACATTTGAATCAGATGGGATATAATTTCTCATTTTTCTGAGTGTACAGGTTGCAGAATTACATTGGTCATGCAGTCACGTATATACCCACAGCAATAATAATGTCTATTTTATTCTGCTGTCCTTCCATTCCCCACTTCCCCTTCCCTCCCCTCCCCTCCTATCACTTCTCTCTATCCAATCTAATGTGACCCACTTCTTCTTTTTTTTTTTTTTTTTACAAATGCCACATTCTTAATTCCAGAGAAAGTAAGTTGGCTTTTAACTCCTGTATTGTCAAATAGCCAATTAAATAAGATTTTAAAATTTTAAAACAATGTTCAGTGTTTAGATAAAACATCTGTCATCATGTCATACTGGCACATCTATTTAGTACATTTAACAGAAACTAAATTATAAGGTGGTTAGGACAGCAGATTTGGAATCAGCTGACAAACAAGGTGGGATACTCAAGGAAACTCTAGATAAGATTACTTATCTTTTCAGCTTTGAAAAATGACAGGTATAATTCATACAGTTCCTTTCATATTTTGAAAGGAAATCTTAAAGTATCAATTTTAGTAAATCTGTATCCATATCCCTAAAGACTTTCTAGCTGTACTTATCAATATCTGGAAGCAGTATTGAGTAAACCACATGCTTAGTTCTTAGTTTTAAACATTGTTTTTGGAAGGAATATTTTGTAAATTCAAGGGAGGCTGCAGTTACTAGAAAAATACATTTTTTCAATATATCATAAAGTCTGAGTTATTACTGAGTCTGATTCTCAAAACTTTCAACTCTAGGGCAATTGGGAACTTTGAAAAAAATTATTAGCAAGAATGCAAATAGATTAGAAGACCTAAATCTACAATTGTACTTAGTGAAAGGTTTCCTTCCTTCCTTCTTTTCTCCCCCTACTTTCTAAACTTTCAGCAGCCATATAACATGTACTCCAAAGGATGAGATTGATTGATTCTTTGACCAATCAGAAGAATGAAAAAATTCTATGGATAAGCAGAAGACGATACCTGGGGGGTATAGTCTATATTCTATATAGTCTAGTTCTATATGTTGAGAAGTATGGGAGTAGCAAATGGGAAAAGAGAAACAGGAAGGAAGAAAAAGAGAAAACATACGTCAGAGGAAAGACAATACCAACAGAAGAGGCAGGTGCTGATAGACAGGAGCTGAGAAAAGAGTGGTAAGAAATACACAATGTAGAACTGCAATATTCATAAACCCCCAAATTCACTATATTATTAATTAAAATGTGTTTATTGAGCTAATACTATGTGCTTGCCCTAGAAAAATCCTGAAAGATTCAAAGATGAATAAATACATCTCTGTCTCTATGCTCCAGGTGCTCTTTGGTGGTGTGTATGGGAGTATGGGCATAAGTATGTGATGTGTTTGTGATGTTCTGTATGCATGTAAACAACATAGTAGGAGCACAAAAAAGGAGTCACTTTTACTTAGGCAGGGAGTGGAGGAAGGAAGACTAGAAAAGGTTCCATGTAAGAAGCAACACTTGAATTTAGCCTTGAAGCTTACATACTTCTTACAATTTCTGGTAGAGTTCAATGGAAATATTTAAAGTAATAATTAATAATCTTACTAGCCTCAATAAAAAGTGATCATAATTGGTATATAAGCCATCTAGGTTTCTGTGTTCAATGCGACTCGTGTATACCTTAAGACTTAACTTAGTGATGTGACCTACTTTGAACCCTTCTTTGATCTCCATGGTCTTAAGGTGTTCTTATATGAATGACCATATTACCTTGGGTTGTATGTAGTCTGTGAGCTGCTCTTAGATTATACTGCTTTCCACCACACACAGTTTTCCCTACTACTGGATTTTAAGTTCCTAAACATCCTTAAAGCACTTCTATTGTGTATTGTGGCATAAATAATTGAACTTTTAGTTGTGAAATTAGTGAATATATATGGGAAGATTCTTATCATAAACGTTGTAAGGATTATCTCATTATCTGGAAATATGCAATACTCATATCTGGGCCCTTCTGTATTACAGAATTTTGAGTAGTGTATCTAGGATACAATTCAGCCTGTCCCAAGGACTACTTTATTTTCCTATTGAAAGTTAAGTACATTTATATGCTAGGGAAGAAGTGTGTAGGAATTGTCTTTGGATCAGGCATGCATTCAGAAAAATATTTCCTGTGATTGGGAAATAGCAATTTGGAGGGATTGTGATATAGTGCTAGCCTTTGCTACTCAAGAGACCTTATTAGGGAGAATGAAAATAACTTAAAATGGTATGGAATACACCTGAGAAGGTTGTTTTAGTGCTGTACCATCTTAGGAGGAAAATTCCACACTCTTTTCCTGTCTTTGATGTGTGTACCCACGCTAGGTTTTGTTCTTTAAGGCTGTAATTCCTCTTATTGGCTACACATCTGAACCCTTAGTTCTCACCCTAAATCCACTGAATCAGAATTTCTGAGCCTAGGACATGGGAATCTGTGTTTGTATGAAATTCTCTAAGCAATTTGGTTGATGAACCAAGCCAGTGAGTTCCTGGTAAATTACATGTCAACTGTATTAAGTATATGATATTAATTCTAAAATACAGGGTTGTAAGATGGACTGTTTCCTCATTAAACTCATCCATCAGTCAGTCAATGTTGATTAATGGGAGAACATCTAAAGACCTGAGGTTTAAACTTCTGTTTTTATTATGGGGTCCATATTTTCACCAATATCGTGGAGTACTATAGTTTACTCTCTTAGAAGTTCATCTTACCTGTCCCATAAATTTTCTGTGGATGCAGAGATTTGTTTTTTTCTAGTAATTCAAAGTGCAGGTCAGGATGACTGTGAGAACTCCTCACTCAGCAAATGGAAAGAGTTATGGCATATGAGTGCAAACTATTATTGTTGCCATTATCTCTGCCTACTAATTACCTGAACACCAGTTTATCCACTAAACTTCAACTTTTAAATTGAGATTTTGAGGAATTTATAATCTTATCTGTTCAATAATATTTTAAAAAATTTGTCTTTTAATGTTTACATGGTCAAATGTACCAAATACAATATTGTAATGTATGATGATTAGATCACACATATAAAGAGCGATCCTTTCTGGATCTGTCTCCAGGTCTTTGGGAAGGATTGAGGAGGAATACAGAAAATCTACACATAAAACTATGAAGCAATTTTAATTTAGTAAAAGAAGACCCCAAGACTTATAAAATAAAGTGCCTTTGAAGATTAATGTTGGCCAAATGCAATTTAAGAATTATATTAACAAATAATGGAAATAAGGAAAAATTAAATTTGAAAAATTTCATATTGAACAAAAAATGCTTAAAGACTTCAATTTAGGATTTACAGCAGAAGTATAGGTTTCCCAACTAAGAGGAAAATAGAAGAGATTCCTTCCTCTCAAGAATCTGATAATGTATTAATAATCAACCCAATAATAGTTTAAATTTTTAGAAAAAACCTGAAAAGTACAAATTACCCTGATATTCAGATAATATTCAGAAATCATATTAAAATAAATTCACTGGGACTTTAATGGGTTGTTAAATCACAACTGGATTCATTAAAACATTTTAGACATTATAAGAAGATTGCACTGGTCTTTTCCAAGTTGTTAGTATCTCAGAAGCACTTGCATAAAGAAGTATTGCTGATCACCAGATGTAATAAAACTGAGTTATTCTAAAAATTTTAGAATACTCTTAGGATTACTATCCTGGTACTTACAAAGATGATACAGCTGTATTTCTCCACAATGAAATCCTTGCATAAGAGAAAGATCCCAAATCATGACCAATAGAAATTATTCAAGACATATTATTATGCCAAGAAATAGAAATAAAATTATCCTTGCCAAATTGTAGAGGAATACCATTAATTTGATATGACATTGTGTCTCTGTGTCAAAAATTAGGCATTATCTGTGGGTTTGCTGTTTCCGAGCATGATGAGGTTTAATAAGTAAGATGTTGAAATATGTTTGACCAGCAGAACTCCACCATGAGCTGGAAATTAGTTGATATATGTACAACATTAATCAAATGATGGTTGTTTCATTATGCTTACTTAAAAAGGGAAACAATTAAAATTCAGAGCTATTGAAGTAGTAAAGAAATTCACATTCACTGTTCAGAAAGCCAGATATAGTAATACCTTTAAAGATGTAACATTTTATTTTCCTGGTGCATGTGTGTATATGGATATTATTGGCATGTATATTATTTTTATATGATTATACATTATATCCATACAAAGATATAAACAACCCCAAAATACCTAGCTAATAAGACATGGTTACTAAATAATAAATGCTTTTCACAGATTTGAAAAGTCTGCTGTTGTTGAGTATTTTAGCAAGAACTAGATTTTTAAAGCTTGAAAATTCTAGCTATCCATTCTGAAATGACATGTCTCATGATTTTACTCCTTGTCACTTATTTCATTTAAGTAAGCTTAACTTTTGTTGAGCCCTCTATAAGAAGAAAATAGAAGATGGTATCAGGATTCTCCTTCAGCTGATAGAGATCATGGTGTGGTTAGCAAGACCAGAGCCCAGGATACTTGGATGGAGAGATGGGTTTGCTGGACTACACACTAGGAAGAGTGGACTATTTACCTTAATTCTAGTGGGCGAGAGTCGTACCATCACAAGACCTAGAAAAAGGGAAAATGTCAATCTCTTGACATGCAGTCTCATTCAGAAGCATTTCCTGTGGACAATAGGAGGACCAGCTTCATCATATTCTTGCTTACTGATCCACATCTGCTGGAATGTGGACAGGCTGGCCAGGATGGAGCCCCCAATCCAAACAGAATACTTCCGTTCTGGGGGAGCTATGATCTTGATTTTCATGGTGCTGGGTGCCAGGGTTACAATTTCCTTCTGCATCCTGTCAGCAATGCCTGGGTACATTGTGCTGCCTCCAGACAGCACAGTGTTGGCATAGAGATCCTTACGGATGTCCACATCACATTTCATGATAGAGTTGAAAGTCGTTTCATGGATCCCACTGGACTCAATGCCCAGAAAGGAAGGCTGGAAAATGGCTTCCGGGCACCGAAAGCGTTCATTCCCAATGGTGATCACCTGCCCATCAGGAAGCTCATAGCTTCTTTCAAGCGAAGAGGATGCAGCTGCACTGACCATCTCCTGCTCAAAGTCCAGGGCCACATAGCACAGCTTCTCTTTGACATCCCGCACAATCTCCCGCTCGGCTGTCGTGGTGAAGTTATAGCCTCTTTCTGTCAGGATCTTCATGAGGAAATCAGTCAGGTCTCTACCTGCCAGATCCAGACGTAGAATGGCATGGGGAAGGGCATAACCTTCATAGATGGGCACAGTGTGAGTCACCCCATCCCCAGAATCCATCACGATACCTGTGGTCCGTCCTGAGGCATAGAGGGACAGCACGGCTTGGATAGCCACATACATGGCAGGTGTGTTGAAGGCCTCGAACATGATCTGAGTCATCTTTTCCCGGTTGATCTTGGGGTTGAGGGGTGCCTCAGTGAGAAGAATGGGATGCTCATCTGGGGCCACGCGGAGCTCATTGTAGAAGGTGTGGTACCAGATCTTTTCCATATCGTCCCAGTTGGTGACTACTCCATGCTCAATAGGATACTTTAGGGTCAGGATGCCTCTCTTGCTCTGGGCCTCATCTCCCACATAGCAGTCCTTCTGGCCCATGCCTACCATAACCCCCTGGTGCCGGGGACGCCCTACCATGGAGGGGAACACAGCCCGGGGGGCATCGTCACCCCCAAAGCCTGCCTTGCACATCCCTGATCCATTATCCACTACCAAGGCAGACAACTCGTCATCAATCATGGTATAGGCTAGAATCTCTCAGATGGGCGAGCACAAGTTAAATATAGAGTAAATACTAGACTGTGGTATGCAAGAGAAAGAAGGAATAGTCCTAAGACACTCCAGAACTGCCTTCAAAGAGGGAAGCCTGCACTGCCCTCAGAGGTATTTAAAGGATTACATGAACCCCACCCACATCCTCTCCCACCAGTTCCCAGCATTTCTGGGTGGAGTCACCTTCAGGTATTTAACAACAATGACAACTAAAGAAATCATTAATTGTCCTTCCTTCATAAGGAGAAAATTGGTTACCAAAGAGGCCAAATCTCAGGTCACTGTAATTAGGCAACCCACATACAGTTGTGAATCTGCTTGGCGAGGTCTCTAGATAACTATGTGATGCAATAGGGGATATAAAAGCAAGATGAAAAGGAGCTAGTGGTGGGCATGGCTAACACTTTCAGAAGGACCACTCCCGGCCCCCCACCCTTGATTTGCCCTCTGGGTTCATTTTATCTACATGAACTTTAACTGTTCCATCTTAGTCTATTGTTTTTATGAAAATTCTGACTCTGCAATCTTTACTTTTAAAATATTTATTTTCCCCACAAGATTTCCAAGTTCACAGGTTGTCATCATAATGGAAGCTGTTTTAATGAATGAAAATAATGAGTGGTTAAGGGTGTCATGATAGCTGTAATTATAAATGCATATACTTATACATACCATGCAAAATGTAGAGATATTTAATAGACTTCTAATCTATCAGAGACCAAGTAAAAGTGATAGAGGAATCAATAAATTAAACCACTATAGATTTTTTTCTGATGTGAATTTCTAATAGCCAAATTTATTAAGCACTTTTCTGTTGAGAGCCACAGCCGAAAGGGGCCCCAGCAAACTTCCAGCTGCCAGCAAACTTCCAGCTGCTAGCTGATGATTGGCTCACAGTGGCCCCAGCAAACTTCTAGCTGCCAACTGATTGGCTCCTCTGCGGTGATGCTCATTGGGCTGTTTCCCCGTCCTTTCAGACCAGGGAGCTGCTCATTGGGGGACTTTTTTTGGCTCCGCCCACACGACCCAGCCAATCGGCCTCAAGAGCAGGAGGAGTGGGGGAGGTTGACAGGCTTGTGGGAAGCCGGTGGTGGCAGTTGGGCTCTGAGGGTTTTTCCTGAGGAGCTGTGTGGTGTGGTGTTTGTGTGTTCTAAAAATAAAGTTCGTTTCTTTTGACAAGTGGCTCCTGAATTGTGCCTAGCCAGACTGCGGCACTTTTCATACCTAGACATTGTTCATAGAACTGGGTTTATTCAGTGCATGTTAACTGCATAGAGGTGGAATGCCAACTTTTTGGGATGATTTATTAATTAGAATAAAAATTATAAAAATTTTATTTGCAATCACTCAATTTGTATAAAGAACAAAATTAAATGATAAATTTGAAAACTACATATTTAAATCATAATTAAAATATTTTAACCTACCTAATATATATGCTTATTAAAACACCAAATTTCTCTGTAGTTATTATAACATCAAACCTCTCTGTTATTAAAGTCTACACCAGTGAAATGGTATTACTTTCTTTCCATTTTATGGTTTGTTACACCCTTGTTATTTCAAGAACAGTTTATTTTGATATTATGTTTAATATAGAAATATGGAAAACCTGGAGAGATATATATCATTATAAAATGTAGGACATTAGCAATGTGTTTCACAAAAGCAACAATTAAGAAAGCTCATTATTTCTGTTTCTATATGTGTTAGATAAATAGGATATAATCTGTTAGTTCTTCTAAAGTGAAATGATCTTTCTTATCCATGTCTGAGTTCTCCAAAGTTACATTTTTTTTGGTTTATTAATTCATTTGCCTAACAAAGCTCACTTTACAAGTGGTTGCAGCAACCCCTCCTTACTGAGCAGAAATATTCCCCCCAGTTCAAAGCCAGGAGAACTAGCTTGCCTTTGCCCAAGAGCCTGATAGAAAGTTATGGTAACACCATACTATGAGTGCCCAGCCCTTGCTTTGGCTTCAGTTTGCTATAGAATGATTTTTCTTTGGGTTTATCCAGTGCTGCAATGTGCCCCCAAAACCTTCATGTTGAAAATTAGTTATGAAGAATGTGTGTTTCACCACAAGACTCATAGTTTTGCTTTGGGTCCCCCCAGGACTAATTAACCTCTCTCTTACTATTTTTTGTTAACTGAAAAATTTCTCCTTCAACAGGGTTAAAGAACTGATCCTTTAACCTGAATGGTTTTATGAACTTCCTTTTCGTGTCCTGCAACCAAGCTTTTGATTAAAATAATATTTTATTGCTCTAGGATGGTACTTCTGGGGATTGTTTTCCCTTTTAACCCTGTAACAAACTACATGTACATCCTACCAAGTGGAAAATAAAATATGCGTTGTATTAAGCACAGATTCCCATTTATGAGTGCACTAGTCTGGAGTATAAAACAGAACCATGTCAGCGGAGGATCCAATACAGTACCAGGTACAGACTTACGTCCTATATTTACTAGAACACTGTCCAGAGATTTGCCTTTAAACTGAGGGCCAGAACCCAGTACACTGAGCATTACTGATGCCTTTCAAGTGTGGCTGATGTGTGACTTTTGTAGATGATTTGTTGGCTTTTGTTTTAGTGTTGATGTCCAGAGAAATTTTCATCATTATATATTCTTAAAACAAACTCTTTTACCTAACTCCCCATAATACAAGAGGGCATATAATAATTAAATAATCATTTAAAAAGATCATATCATGAGTTGGTTATGTTTTTAAAAAAATAGTAAAAATTTGTATGAGTGAAACAGGAAAATGGGTTAATGAATGCTGGGCTCAGGGGGGAGGAGATGCTGTTCTTGGAGGTGCCAGGTTTTCTAATTGAGTAGAATTTATAGCTGTTTAGGTTTACCTAAACCTCGAGGAGTCTTTATGTTTAACTTCTGAAACCCCAGAATCTTATATTCTTTTACATTTCACCCAGTTCAACTATGATGCAGATATAAGCAAAACAAAACAAAACAAAAACGAGAGTAAGGCATGGGTATGGCATTACACCCCAGGACGCTGGGCCTAGGTGACTGGAGAGCAGGGCCATTGTGCTCATCATTTTGCCTTTGAAGAGCAACCTTGTACTTTTTTATTCAGCCCACAGACATTTATTAAGCTTCTCCCATGTGCTGGGCATGGGTATTAGATTGATGAATAAAACACAGTCCTTGTTTTTGAAGTGTATTACCTTATGGGTTAAAGTCACCTCCCTCTAGGCTGACAGATGGCACCTTGATTCTGATATGGAGCAGCTGGCTTGTGTTCTGACAGGGCATTTCCACTGATGGTCAGTTGTCAAAGATTTTGAATGTCACTCTCAGACACACAGATCATGAGTAGGGAGGATGAAGATGGAGGGACGGGCCCTTGAACCTGAGGTCAGGGCAAGGGAAAAGAGGTCCAGGGAAGATATCCCTTGGGCTCAGTCTCAAAGGGTGAATAGGAGGCTGTCCATCAGTCAGTGGAGGCAATACTGCAAGCATAGGTGCCACCAACAGGTAAAATCAGAGGAGCAAGTGTGTATTTGGAATGAGGGCTGTACACAAGGGTCAGCAATGGTTTAGAGGCTGAGAACAAGCACTTGGATCTTCACAGGCAAGAGGAAGTGAGTGGAATTCCAAGACTGCATGTCACATCCTCTCAGGCTTACATGAGATCTGACTAGAGTCTCTTTCCAGTGGCCCATGGAGGCTGCATCATGGTGATTATCTCCTATCCAGACTCTTATCTCTTAAACTACACTGATGAGACTGGGAATTTTAATGAGTGTCCTTTTGGCCACCACCAATTTAGAACATTGAGGTCAGCTACCTTCCTCTTCGGTCCTCACCTGGTTTCGCCCACACTCTCTTTCCTTCTGTCCTTGATCAGTTTCCCAGAAGTTTACCTCTGCCAATGTGTTGATAGCTCAGAGTCTCCTTTAACTGGACTCCGCTCTTTGTACAGGTTGATAACATGATTGATAAACAGACACAGGCATAGGTGGTTAGTGTGATTTTTCTCATTATACATTAAGCTATTCACTAATAGAGATAGCCAACCATTTTTATTTATTTTTCCTACATATTTTATTGATGTATTATAGTTGTACATAATGATGTAATTTGCTGTTACATATTCATATATGCACACAATGTAACAATTTAATTTGGCCAATATCACTCCCTAGCACTTCCCTTCTCCTTCCCCATCTCTCCCCCCACCCCCGTGGTCCCTTTCCTGTCCTGATCTCCCTTTGATTTTCATGAGATTCACCCTCACCTTTTTTCCCCCTTTTTCCCTCTCCAGTTTCTACATATATGAGAAAACATATGACCCTTGGCCTTCTGAATTTGACTTATTTTGCTGAACATAATGGTCTCTGGTTCCATCTATTTTCCTTCAAATGACATAATTTTATTTTTCATTATTAGTCAACCACTTTTAAAAATTAAAAGCTCATTTATTTTGTGGCTAAATGCTATTTAATATTTATATTTCATATTGATAAAATGATTTAGTCATGATATCTTAAAAACTGTAAATATTCACTCCAGAGAAGTCTCTAACGTGTGTCTTTAAAATTTCTTTTGGTCAGGCGTGGTGCCACATTCCTGTAACCCCATCAGGTGGGGAGGCAGAGGCAAGATGATCATAAGTTCAAAGCCAACCTCAGCAACTAAGTGGAGCCCTAAGTAAAAAACCTGTCTCAAAATAAAAAAAATAAATAAAAAGAAAAGAACAGAATGTGGCTCAGTGGTTAAATACCCCTGGGTTCAGTCCCTGGTACCAAAAACAAACAAACAATAAAAAAAAAAAAAACCACACATACACACATACACACAAACACACACACACAATCTTTCTTACAAAGAATAAATCTATGACTAATAATTACTAATGAAGTTTATAGTGAAATTTTCCGATTATTTGTCTTAATATGTAAAATTTTGTAAAAAAAAAGAAAGGAAGTAGTATGAAAACATTTAAAATGCAAACTTCCTCAAAGAAGACCTGGCTGACCTATTTCCTGTGGCAGGCATGGGCCAGAGGGAGGAGGTATCTCTTGACCAGTTCCTGGATGTGCTTGTAATAAAGCTCTGAGCACAAGAATCATTTTCCTGGTGCTGATGACAACAGCTCGCAGCCCCAGCCTGAGCTAGCCCACGCTCTGGGAATAAGACCAGCTTTTACTCCTCAGGGCATCAGGGCCAGAAATGAACTTTATGGTACTTCTTCCTTACTCTAACTTAAAAATACTATTTTTAAAAATATATTTCTATATTTAAATAAAAATTTAAAATATATTTAAATATTTTTAAAAATATATTTCAGACATTGATTTGTAAACAGAATTGTTAAGAGGAAGAATAGATTCCTGTGTGTATAAGATGAATCTTCAAATGTATATATTGATTCTAAGGAAAAGGAGAAAAGGGCTGGGGCTGTAGCTCGGTGGCAGAGTGCTTGCCTAGCATGTGTGAGGCAATGGGTTCAATCCTCAGCACCACATAAAAATAAAAAAAAAAATAAATGAAGGCATTCTGTCCATCTACAACTACAAACTTTTTTTAAAAGGAGAAAAAGTGGAGATTTGGAAATCAGAAATATCAACATTAACAGAAGTTCATTCATCACTGACTTGAACCACATATCCAAGACTGAGATGAATTCTGAATTGTTCTCTGATCCTGAAAGGTGGAGGGAGACTGAGAAAAATAGTAATTTCTGATCACTTCTTGTGTGCCAATCTCTATGCTAAATGTTTCACATATGACCCTTTTTAGATCCATGGGTTCATCATCTCCATTTTAGAAGAAATACACCTCAAAGCAAACAAAGCCTCAAAGCAACCTGATCTAGGCAATTCAGAGCAATAGTGGCTTTGAACCTACTGGCCCAGGTCCAGAGCCCAAAGCCCTGCCAACTGATGGGTAAAGGAGAGGATACAATGACATCTGGCTTGCCCTCCCTGAGAGAGGCAGCAACTGGGACTATCCTCATGGACTCTTTGTAGTCCTTGGGGGAAATACGATCTTAAGGTGTCAAAATGGCATCTCAGAGTGCCAAGCAGGATGAATATTAAAGTCAAAATAAAAAAACCCAAATAATATTCTAGAGAACTATAGCAGGTTCTTCCTTTTAATTAATATTAATATCAGACTATCTTATTCTCAAAAGTGGAAAAAAAGACATGATGAGTTAAGGCTTGGTCAGAGAAAGAAATTCACAAACAGAAGCAAATCTATTATTATCTAGAACAAACTAGTAGGAGAGTAAGTTCTGGAGGAAATAGTAGGATAGGTAACAGGCAATTAGAAAGCAAAACATACCTTTCCGCGCTGCCCAGGGAGGGATCCATACGGCGTTGTTCTTGATTCCCGTCATAACTTTAAAGGGAAACTGTCACAATGTCCGGAGCCCTTGATGTCCTGCAAATGAAGGAGGAGGATGTCCTCAAATTCCTTGCAGCAGGAACCCACTTAGGTGGCACCAACCTTGATTTCCAGATGGAACAGTATATCTACAAAAGGAAAAGCAATGGCATCTACATCATAAATCTGAAGAGGACCTGGGAGAAGCTTCTGCTGGCAGCTCATGCCATTGTTGCCATTGAAAACCCTGCTGATGTCAGTGTCATATCCTCTAGGAATACTGGCCAGCGGGCTGTGCTGAAGTTTGCTGCTGCCACTGGAGCCACCCCTATTGCTGGCGGCTTCACTCCTGGAACCTTCACTAACCAGATCCAGGCAGCTTTCCGGGAGCCACGTCTTCTGGTGGTTACTGATCCCAGGGCTGACCACCAGCCTCTTACAGAAGCGTCCTATGTCAATCTGCCTACCATTGCTTTGTGTAACACAGACTCTCCTCTGCGCTATGTGGACATTGCCATTCCATGCAACAACAAGGGAGCTCATTCTGTGGGTCTGATGTGGTGGATGCTGGCGCGAGAAGTTCTGCGCATGCGTGGCACCATTTCCCGTGAGCACCCATGGGAGGTTATGCCTGATCTATACTTCTGCAGAGATCCTGAAGAGATTGAAAAGGAAGAGCAGGCTGCTGCTGAAAAGGCTGTGACCAAGGAGGAATTTCAGGGTGAATGGACTGCTCCGGCTCCTGAGTTCACTGCTACTCAACCTGAGGTTGCAGACTGGTCTGAAGGTATGCAGGTGCCCTCTGTGCCTATCCAGCAGTTCCCTACTGAAGACTGGAGTGCCCAGCCAGCCACTGAAGACTGGTCTGCAGCTCCCACTGCTCAGGCCACTGAGTGGGTAGGAACAACAACCGAGTGGTCTTGAGTTGTTCTGCAGTCACACATTAATAAGCAAGGTGGAAATAAGGAGAATAAGCACCAATTTACGGAGAATAAACAACCAGTTTCTAAAAAAAAAAAAAAAGAAAGCAAAACATAAATCAGTAAGCCAAATGCATCTATTGGATCAAAGCCACAAGGGAAGTGGGGCCTGCCAGGTGTCAATTTTCAGATCCCAAGTGGCATTGTCTTCAGACATTCAGATTTGACCATGGTAATCCAAGATGACAGTAGAAAGTGGGGCACAGCTCTGTCTTAGGAAGTTGGGTAAGCCTGGGAGAGCCTGGGGTGGTTGAAAGTCTGGTGCCTCTAAAACAGGTCAAGAGAAAAAGCCAACCAAGATGGTCAAGAATGACCAGATCATAGAGATGAAGGTGGCAAGACTAGAGAGCAAGGGAATTGGGTCAGAATCCAGGCCCCAGTGCTCAGAGCACCTTAAAGAGTATGAGGTGGAGTGAGGGACAATTCACTTGTGAGCTGAGGTAATTCCCATAGTGTGGGTGTCCCAGGCCAGCAGGAGTTTGAAGGGAAAATCTCACAAAGTTGGAAAGGAAACAACAGTGAATATAGCTGAGACTCAGTACAGATGGAGCCAGAGATCACAGGACCTTAATCGAGCCAATCTGTCATAGCAACATGTGAAGCACAAAAACGAAAAATCAGGCTACTTATTCTCAAAAGTAGCTTTGTGGCTACTGTGTTGTAGTCAGTGGTTATTCTTCATTCTGGTGAACCTGGCTTTGTGAATGCTTAACTATCGTGTCTGATTTCCTGCACATTTTCAGTGTGACCATATAGAAGCCTGCGTCTGTATAGTTATAATTTTTGAAACAGGATTGTGGCTTATCAAGCGCTAGAAAATGTCCAGTCTCTGGTGTACAGAGTGCCTGATGCTATGGAAACGTGCTGTCCCGCCTAGAGGACCATGAAGGTGGATGATGCAGAATGAAAAGGCTAATTCAATTTTGGATGCTGCCTAATTCACTTCCAGGGGAAAACTTATTGATTGGTAGGCTATGACTCAATGTCCTATCTTTTATTTTGTTCTCCCCTAAGCTAAGAGAAGCAGCTTTTCTGGGGATCTCAAGGGACCCAGGGAGGAAATTATTTCAGGTATTTGGAACTGGTAAGTGCCTCCAGGGGGTCTTAGTTCTTTTGCTGACATCAAAGCAGGATGATGTAATCTTTTAACAGAGAAAGGATGAGTGGGCATTAGGAAGCCCTGCATGATGGGGTTCAGGAGAGAAGGGGATAGAACTTACAGAAGAGATGGGAAACCCAGAAGAATGCAAGGGCAGTGGAATATTAGGACTTACACCCTGATGATAGATGGTTTCCTTTCCTTTAGTTATCACATCACCAAGTCCAGGATAAATGACATCAAAACACTAAAGAAGATATGCTATTACTACACAGTACAGATTCTGGATTCTCGAAGGGACAGACCACAGCTGAGTGCAGGTGAGGTCCCCAGCACAGCTTCTTTGGTCTTTGGCCCCATTCAATATTCTAAAAAGGACTTTAAAATTTTTAGTTTTGAATATTTTAAAAAGACAGATTTCTGAATTTCCACTTCTCTGAAAAAATAGAAAATCAAGAAACACTGGGACCCTGATCCTTGCAACATTGGTGAATAGCAGCTGACCCCATTAGAAGGCAAGTGCTCTCCATCTCCTCAGCCCCCGTGTCCCTGAAGGTGGGTGGCTCCCAGCCCTCTCAACTCATGGTCCTTGCAGGCTTGAGAGTTGAATTTATCCTGAGAGACTAAAAAGAACCTCACATTTGAGGCAGGGATGGGAAAAAGATGAGGAGGGAGGCTGTGTTCTCTGGTCCTCTCTTGATTTGGAGATGGCTTGGTTTTGACAAGAGCATATTAATATAAAATATGTGTGACAGAGTTTCTTCAATTATATGACAAATGGTCAAATGTGACATTCAGTCTTTAGGAATTAAAGAGCAATGCAATTCAAAAGGCTGAGCAAAAAGGGTGGTTCAGTTTTTTTTTTTTCTGTTGAGGATGGAATATGGCAGAATGGAAACATTTAATTAAAATTTGAGTAAAATTATTAAGAGTATAATAAAATATGACTTTTCTGGTGAACTATTTCTGTTGACACTGGTGAAAAGGCTCAGGGGTGTGGGTCCTTGGATTTTCTCCTATTTCTGTTTGGATGAGTCTGAAAAAGACTGGAGGTTTCTAAATGATATCCTCACATTCTAGGACTTTCTTTTACAGGAGAGCTATCTTTAGGAGGGCGATGGATGCATTTCACTTCTCTAAATCCCTTTCCTCTGAAACTGAGTTCTTTGAAGAAGAGCACTCAGAGATGGTTTAAGAACCTTCCAAAGGAAAGTCTTGGTTAATGCTCTCAGAGCAAGTTTTCCCTTTGTTATACCCAGCTGCAAGTGGGATCTGGGTCAAATTAGTGGAGTATCAGAAATAGACTTTAGGATTAAAATAAAAGAGGAAGAATTCTTTCACAACATCCCTGGTTAACACTGATGGTATTTTCAGTCTTAGCCAGAGGAAGGGAGAAAAAAGAGCTCCAGGTTAGGTAAAAGGCTAATTGGAAATTCTGTGTAGAATATAAAAGATGCAAAAGAATTTAGGAATATAAACCCAAGGACAAGATGACCAAAGGAAGTAGAAGGACTGGGGAGAGGTACAAGGCAGAATTTCATTTATTTTATGAAAATCATATATTTATATATGCAAACAAAATATTAGACTATGACTCACATATGGACATGTCCCTCCCTGCTTGAAAGCTTTCGATGACTTAAAATTAGCCAGAGGACTAAGTCTAAACTTGTTAGTATACACTTTAAGGCCCTCTGTTATCTGGCTCCAACCTACTTCTCCTCCCCAGTACTTGAACCTTGGGCTCCTGTCTCCTGACCTAATTGATTCCCAGACAGCCTGTTCCTCAGAATTGCGGACACTGTTTACTTGCCTGGGAAGGTCCCTCCCACCTTCTCTTCCCTTTTGTGTTCAATCCACCTTGAAAGCCATCTCGGATGCTCAACAGTTGCTCACAGAGCCTTTTTCATTTTCCCTAGGAGGAATGAATCTCTTATGTCTTTGAAACCCACAGTTCTTCACTTCTATTTCTTAGTTATTTTCTCTTTCTGTTTTGTACCACTTATGTACATGTCCGTCTCCCTCACTGAACTCTCTTTATCGAATTCTAACATTGCCTCTATCAGTGATTTGCAACTATAATTGTTTAATCATTGACTATTGACTTTAACTTCCAATATTTATTTTGAAACAGATAGTTGATTGATTGGGTTGAGTTAACATCCCAACAAGTGTTTAAGTTGTAACTTAACATATTTGAAACCAAATTCATTAGCTTCTCCCAAGTACTTTGTTAAATAAAAGTGATCTCAACATTTTCAAAATAACTCAATTTTCTAATTTGAGGATCATCTTTGACTCAATCATTTGTTTCACAATTTTAAACAGAGCATAGTATAACATAGAATTCTAGTGAATATTCTTGAACTGTTTCTCATAATCTCTGTTTCTTTCTGCCCTGATTTGTTTTGCCTTAGTTCTGACCCCCAGTCTCTGCACAGTAACTATGGAAATATAGTAGTTAAGAACACAACTTTGAATCTGGCAAAGCTAGGTTTGCCCCATTATTGCTGGGCTTGCAAACTGGGCCACTTCAGATTTTTCCAAAGTCTCTTTTTCTACCTCTGTGTGGAAGATAATAATTGTATCTGTCTTGTAAAGTTATTGTGAGGCTGACATGAGATTGTATGTGTAAAGTGTTTGGCAAAGTGCACTGTAAGAGCAGAGTTCTGTGAGTGTTAGCAATGAACATAGCAGTTCCCATTACTCTCCTAAGGGCCTGTTCAGCTCTGGCCAGTTGAATCTCCTCACTGTGAAGAGTTTAGGAGCTGTATAATGCTTCTAGCAAGAATCCCTAGTAGGGATGTAGCAGACCCTCAGTATGGGGCAGATTCTTTGGTTAGAAAAGTGTGAGGTGGCTAAAGAGAGGTAGACTATTGGTGAAAAGCCCCTGAAGCAATTGCTGTGGTATTGCACTTGAGTGGTTTTTACTCTATAAGCCAGGTAGTGTTGCTCATGCTACTGTCAGAGGTGACTAAATTTTGCATAGAGATGGAACCTAATTATTTTTTTGAGGGGGTTTATTGTGAAGAAATAACACAAGATATATCTCTTGCTTATCTAGATGCAGTCCTCCTCCTCCTCCTCTTCTCCTTCTCCTCCTCCTCCTCCTCCTTCTTCTTCTTCTATTTTTAGTACTGGGGCTTAAACCCAGGGGTGTCTTACCATTGAGCTACTTCCCTAGCTCTTTATTTTTTAATATTTTGTTAAGTTGCCCAGACTGGCCTCAAACTTGCCATCCTCCTGTCTCAGTCTTACAAGATTATAGATGTGTGCTACCATGTCTGACTAGTGCTTTATTACTCTTGGGGTTCAGAGGTGAGGAATATTCTTCTTGCTCCTTCAACTCTCCATGATGGCTTGATGCCCACTGCAATTGTGTGGTGGAGTGCAGCCCCTGGAAAAGGACTGAGGAGATGATGTGGATGGGCCTTTTATTTAAAAAAAATAATTAATTATTTTTAATTAAGTATATATGACAGCAGAATGCATTTTGATTCATTGTATACAATTTCTGCACAACTTTTCATTTCTCTGGTTGTACACAACATTGCATCACACCATATGTGCAGTTGTACATGTACCTAGGGTAATGATGTCCACCTCATTCTAGCATCTCTCCTGCTCCCATGCCCCCTCCCCAGCCCTCCTTCCACTTTGCCCAAAGTTCCTCCACTTTTTCCATGCCCCCCAATCCCATTATGGATCAGCATCCACTTATCATAAAGAACCTTTGGCCTTTGGTTTTTTGGAATTGACTTACTTCATTTAGCATGATATTGTCCAGCTCCATCCATTTACCTGCAAATGCCATGATTTTATTCTCTTTTAATGCTGAGTAATATTTCAGGATAAAGAAACTGAATATATCACAGTTTCTTTATCC